ACAAACAAAATTTAATTTACTGTCTTGGTCTCTTGGGTAGCATTCTGCATAGCGGTCTGTTGGTTGTTTAAGACTACGGTTGACAACACAATATTACATCAATGCAGAACCGTTTTATAAACGTGCCTTTGCTGGTTGACGCAATGCAGCTCCCTGTTTTTCATTTGAGCGAGGATTATTGTGTCTTGCTGAAGGACACGGGTCAGTTACCACCCCCACCCATCTAAACTCCCTGTCACGATTTGCTTGAAATTATTTGTGAGTCTGAACTCACTACTCACTCGACCAAACCAGGAAGGAATTTTCCTTGTGTTCCCACAGTCACCCAGTCAGTGGCCTCTTACGGTGTGCATGACAAATAAATAGTCATACCCTTTGAAACAGTTGAACCTCGAGTGCCAAAATTGCTTGAGCATGGCGTGGCTTAATGCAAAGAGCATTGCGTTTTAATCAAAGTCCAGTTTGACTTCTATTTCAGCAACAGTTAAACAAGTTAAAGAGATTTTTATTTTATTTGTTTATTTATTATTTTGTTTGTTTATTTATTTATTTATTTATTTATTTCTTTATTTACTCATTTATTCATTCGTTCATTCATTAATTTATTTATTGATTTTTTAATTGATTTTTTTATTTATTGATTTTTTTTTGTTTGGGGGGGGGGGGGGGTCCTCTTGAGGGTGGAAAAAGGAAGAAAAGCGTCCATTCCAATGACTTATACTCACTACGTAAGAAAGTTTCCATTCTCTAATCGTCCATTTCCTTAATGATCAGCAACATTTCTTCAAAAGCATTGCAATGTTTATTTTATGTCATTTCTTTTTTAAAAATCTTGTTTTGAAACCGAGATTTCACGCTGAACTAGATATTTGAAAGCGAAAACGCAGTTTCTATCTTTTTACACGAAAATTGTATTAACGGGAAACTAATTTTCAAATGTTTCATAAGCCGTATCGTCAGGTGTAAACATCATGTTCGCGTGGGTTACACGATATCCTATATTATCACTTACACTTTTGCTAAGGGAACCAAAACAATTCCAATTTTTCGACGCTATCGTACTTGAATTCACGCGGGACGGTGTAAATTCATGAGGAATTTCAGCAACAATTATTTTAAACGTTGAGCGTAAACGAATTTGCCAAACAACTTACAAGTGGGCTGCGCAGAGGATGCTGAAGCGAATAAGAAAAATCAATTACTTAAGAAAACGATTTAGAGATTGGATTCTCGTGTGAAACTCTGGCGGGGAACACAGGGAGACAAGCACCTGGAGGCCCATGCAAACTTGGCAGCGAAATGGAAACATTACTACGTAGGCACTATGCCATTGGTATGGACGCTTTTCTCTCGACTTTCACCATCAACTGGGAACACCCCTCTCCCCCCGTGGGTGGTTGGCGGCTGCTCTGGTGTGGTTTGCTCCTTCTTTCCTGTCTAATATCTACCGTCCTTATCTCCCCTTCTTCTTTTTTTTATGTTTGTTATTCTCTTGTAACCCCTCTAATCTGCTGGCGCTCATATGACCTTATGCAGTTGCGAGCGCCGTAAAACACTTACCAAAACAAAACAAACAAAATTTAATTTACTGTCTTGGTCTCTTGGGTAGCATTCTGCATAGCGGTCTGTTGGTTGTTTAAGACTACGGTTGACAACACAATATTACATCAATGCAGAACCGTTTTATAAACGTGCCTTTGCTGGTTGACGCAATGCAGCTCCCTGTTTTTCATTTGAGCGAGGATTATTGTGTCTTGCTGAAGGACACGGGTCAGTTACCACCCCCACCCATCTAAACTCCCTGTCACGATTTGCTTGAAATTATTTGTGAGTCTGAACTCACTACTCACTCGACCAAACCAGGAAGGAATTTTCCTTGTGTTCCCACAGTCACCCAGTCAGTGGCCTCTTACGGTGTGCATGACAAATAAATAGTCATACCCTTTGAAACAGTTGAACCTCGAGTGCCAAAATTGCTTGAGCATGGCGTGGCTTAATGCAAAGAGCATTGCGTTTTAATCAAAGTCCAGTTTGACTTCTATTTCAGCAACAGTTAAACAAGTTAAAGAGATTTTTATTTTATTTGTTTATTTATTATTTTGTTTGTTTATTTATTTATTTATTTATTTATTTCTTTATTTACTCATTTATTCATTCGTTCATTCATTAATTTATTTATTGATTTTTTAATTGATTTTTTTATTTATTGATTTTTTTTTGTTTGGGGGGGGGGGGGGGTCCTCTTGGGGGGGGAAAAAGGAAGAAAAGCGTCCATTCCAATGACTTATACTCACTACGTAAGAAAGTTTCCATTCTCTAATCGTCCATTTCCTTAATGATCAGCAACATTTCTTCAAAAGCATTGCAATGTTTATTTTATGTCATTTCTTTTTTAAAAATCTTGTTTTGAAACCGAGATTTCACGCTGAACTAGATATTTGAAAGCGAAAACGCAGTTTCTATCTTTTTACACGAAAATTGTATTAACGGGAAACTAATTTTCAAATGTTTCATAAGCCGTATCGTCAGGTGTAAACATCATGTTCGCGTGGGTTACACGATATCCTATATTATCACTTACACTTTTGCTAAGGGAACCAAAACAATTCCAATTTTTCGACGCTATCGTACTTGAATTCACGCGGGACGGTGTAAATTCATGAGGAATTTCAGCAACAATTATTTTAAACGTTGAGCGTAAACGAATTTGCCAAACAACTTACAAGTGGGCTGCGCAGAGGATGCTGAAGCGAATAAGAAAAATCAATTACTTAAGAAAACGATTTAGAGATTGGATTCTCGTGTGAAACTCTGGCGGGGAACACAGGGAGACAAGCACCTGGAGGCCCATGCAAACTTGGCAGCGAAATGGAAACATTACTACGTAGGCACTATGCCATTGGTATGGACGCTTTTCTCTCGACTTTCACCATCAACTGGGAACACCCCTCTCCCCCCGTGGGTGGTTGGCGGCTGCTCTGGTGTGGTTTGCTCCTTCTTTCCTGTCTAATATCTACCGTCCTTATCTCCCCTTCTTCTTTTTTTTATGTTTGTTATTCTCTTGTAACCCCTCTAATCTGCTGGCGCTCATATGACCTTATGCAGTTGTGAGCGCCGTAAAACCTCTACGTAAACTAGATGTAACATCTTCCTCCCCCCCCCCCCCCCCAATAACATCAACTCCCCTTATTCTGCCCTGCCCCCCCTCCCTGTCCCCCAAATAACAAAAAAATAAAACAACAACAACAACAACAAACGAGCTACCCATATTCTCCACCCACTCCTCTCTTACCCAACATCCCCAACCCACTTCCACCTTCCTAAGAGAAAAAGTTAGTAGCTACAGAGCTTAGATACAAGAAGAGGCCAAAAATCCATTCAGAAAGAACTTACTTTTGAACAAATACTTCTGTATTGATTCTGTATTTTCTTATAACAAGCAATTCGATTATATTATCCTTATTTTATATATGCCCCCTCCCCCTCCCCAAACAAACCAAAAAAAACATGTGTGTGTCTATGTACGTCTGTGTGTATGTTTTTGCGTGTGTGTATGTGTGTGTGTGTGTGTGTGTGTGTGTGTGTGTGTGTGTGTGTGTGTGTGTGTGTGTGTCTGTTTGTGTATGCTTGTGGGAGAAAGAGAGTGAGGGAGAGAGGGAGAGAGAAAGAGAGCGAAAGAAAGAAAGAAGGATGGAGGGGATCGGGTCGGGGAGAGAGACACCTCACACCAGCAGCACATGGACAAGCTCTGCCAGACCCTTTCCCGCTCATCTCTTCATCTTCTGTCTCTAGATTTATTTTCTCTATCTCTATATTCGTCATTTTATTAATGCTAAAGACATATCAATTCTCTTTGCGTTGAAGAAAACATTGAGTGTTGAGCGCCTAAACATATGTTTGTTTAAGCAAACAACATTATGGCAGCTGCAAGCCCAGATGATAAAATCGCTTTTGAATTTTAAAAAAGTAAATTTGATGTGTAAGGGAGGAAAAAAAACCCAAAAGATGTGGTGTATGTACAGATTTGTTTTATAATATCTTAAACCGTGCAATTCAACGAAATTTCGGTTCCCAATGGAGAGCACCATTCTAACAATTTGTAGCCAAAAGCAGGGGAAGGGGGGGGGGGAAGGTGCTACGAAAACTTTGTTACTGCGAAACTGGTTGGTTCCCCCCCCCCCCCTTTCATTTTGGACACCCATGCTGCACAGGCTTCGCAGCGAAGTTTTTATAAAGAGTAGGGAGAGCAGCCATGACAATGAGTGGTCAATGATAAAATAGTTCAAATCTATGAGTACAGGAGAGATGTAGCTCATTAAGTTCTATGGGCAGCTTTCTTGATTTGACGTCGCTCAAAATGTTAGTCGCAGAAGATTATTCTGAAAACGATCCTTGTTCAATGGTTTATTGCCCTACTAAACACATGGCAAATCTTTTTGGGAGGCCCGGGATGAACAGAATTATTCCAGAAAAAAAAATCTCTTACCTTGTGGGTTCAAAGCTTTCTGCTTGTCGGCCACTTTCGTCTCAAAGATGCCAAAAATGACCTCTCGAGGAAAAAAGAGATTATTTATGTAAACCAAAAGTTATAAAAATTCCAGAAAGAAACCGTTGTCGTATCCCTTCTTTTTTGCGGATAAGATTATTATTCTCCAAAATTCATAATTCTGCATCGCTTTATTAATTATTAATGCGGTAGCTACTCGAATTTTTTTACATTTCTCTAGATATGTCGACATGTCAAGAATAGTTACAGTTTATTAACATTCAGACGTTCAAAGTTTGACCCTGAGTTGGGTTCGAACGTTTCTTGTCTTTCTTGTAATTACCATTTCATTCTGTCTTCAAACTGAAAGATTTGATATTTGTTCGTGCTCTATGTATAGTTCGTGGCCGTTCAGTCTCAGAGAGTAAGTTAGTCAGTTATAAAGTAGATCAGACAGTAAATATTATCACGATTCCATTTCACTAAATATTTTTATTTTTACGTCTGTCTACAGGAAGACTTCAAGTACATATCTCTGGAAAGCGACGGCGTGTTACGCCTATCACAACCGGTACCAGATGAAATTGACACTTTGAACGTCAAACTACTCGCAGTGGACACAGGCTCGCCCCAGCGGAGCGGTACCACTGACGTCATCGTCGACGTCATCCTTGTCAAACGTAAGAACAATAAATACCCGTTAGCTTACTTAATTTCATTTTTTCTCCGTTTAAATCTATCAGTCAACATGAAAATTAATATCGTAAAAAGCGACTGTGTGATGACATGTTATTGTTTGAATTATTCAGGGTTTAAGACATGTACAAATTTGGAAACTATATAATGATGTAAATTAAAATATACTTTTAACTGTTAAAAATGTCATAAAATATCTGGCCACCCTCAAATTCTGTTACCAGAGCCAGAGACATTCTGCTTTTCCACGACCGCCACCACCACAACCCTGTGCTGGAAGAACCCGATGCCAGAGCGGGCCTTTGACGGCTACACTGTCACTGTCACCGGGGACTCGCGCAGGTGAGCTATTCACAGCGTATTTTGAAGATTATTTTCACGTGTTTATTAACTACGAAGTAGTTATGTTCATATTCGTACAATATTGGTTTGTTAACGGCGTTTCCGGTGTTGTTATATACGCTCTTCGCCAATGTACGTGGAAGAATAGGAGCTCAATTCCCTTAAGGGGGGGGGGGGGGGGGGCTACACCTGGAGGCTATCTCGCTTATTACTGGACCGAATTTTACCACATTTCACACATATAACGAGCATAGTAAGGAGTCTTGAAATCCGCAATCAAATTTGAGAGAAAAGTTTCGTTTCCATGGATACGCCGCCATATTGGATTTTATTGGCATGTCTTACGTAATGAATACCGCACTTATCACTAATGGAAAATGATTGTTTTTTTGCATGCGTGTTCACAAACATTAGATCTAAAAATTTGTTTGTTGTTTTTTTCTTAATCGAATTACAAAATTTTTAATGAATTTTTTCCTGAGGTAGCATTCAAGTTTGCGAAAAATCAGTGAAAATCCACACTCCAGACACCACCACCAAAAATCTATTTCATATATCAAAATTTCAACAGACAAATTTTAGTATTACCTCTTCTCTTCATTCTGTGAAAATTTAATGAAGATTGGATGAAAAATGGTGGAGTTATTCAAAAAAGTATAGACAAAAGTAGCATTTTGAGAAAACGGCCGATAAAGAAAAATAAAATACTGACTTTATGAGGAAATGGCGGTTACAAACACGCCTGGTATGGGAAAAAATACGATTTTTTTGGGGTTCTTATGCCATGAAATAGTTGTAGGAGAGGCTGAGGAAGCTAAAAATGCCTACAACTCAAATTCCATGATTTTGAGCCGAATTTTGATTTTGAGGGTGTAGCCCCCCCCCCCCCCTTAAAGGGCAGTCCATTTATTGATAAGGGCTCATGTTGCGGCGAAGCGCTTTACCGATACACCACAACGCCGTTGATTTCTAGACGGGTAAGACAAACTCATAAATCGCCCACTCGCATGCGTACGAGGGCATGCCCATACACAAACAAACAAATACGCAGTGATGGACACACAGACTGCCTTTCTTGTGTACTCCATCTCTCTGACGCCAGTTTGTCGACTCATTCGTTCGTACGATAGCCACGAGTCGTACGAATGGTTTCTATATCCGCTTGCCTTTCATATTTTTCTTTTTGCCATTTCCTCTCCTAGATTTTGCTTCTTCTTCTAGTGTTTCAGATTAATTACCGACTTCCTGGCACAACTAACAGAATGCACGGCAAACGTAATGCAGTAAGCTCTAATCTGCTTCTCTGTGGAAGGAACACCGTACTCGTACTTTTGATTGGCTCCGGAAGCAGATTTAGCTATTTTTAGGTAGACTTTAAAAAATCAGATCATATTATGCTCCTTACAAAGTTACGGAAATGGCATGGGAATGTTTGATAGCATCCGTCTCAGAAACATATCCTGTATATTCTCTCTAAAAAAGTATGGTCGTCTAAACATATCCACTAACTGTCCTTTGCCTTTTAGATTTAGCTTTTAAAATGAGTTGCAAATCTTCCCTAATGCTTATCATTTTTACTTTGAGGGGTTAGTATTGATTACTTTGTGGGGTTAGTATTGATTCAAACGCTCATGAACTTAAATATGTCGAGGACGATTCACTGCTTTCAACAGCCATCGTATAGGTTCAACATCCCTTCGAATTTATCGTCCATCTCTGTTGAGACTGAATCAAATGGATCATCATCATTATCAAGTCCAGATCTGCGACAGACATTGGCGATCATGGTTCTCCGCTCCAGTCATTCCTTTACTCTGCTTAAAGATAAAGAAGCTTATTATCTTGATTCTTCCCTGTCACCCATCTGTTTAGGTTCTCCAAGTAGGTTGCTCCGAGCCCTCCTTGCCTCATTTGCCTTCAATTTTGCCAGTGAGAGCTAAAATGTTCAAGGCCTTTATGTGTATATTGGTGACCCAGAGCTACACTTGTCCTTTTCCTGATTGTTGTTAATCACCAAAGGGATAGAGAGCCTTAAAGATTCCCCGAAACAGCCCAAGTTTTGAACGTTCCATTGGGAATTCAAACCTAGACCACCTGATCCAGAGTACAGCTTGACACCAACTGCGCCAACACGGCGCCCGATTAATTGCTTTGCAGACTGACTTACGTTATGGAAGTCTTCAATCAAATTCTGAAAGGTGTAAACAGCTTTGTTTTGTCCATTTGGTTTAAGACGTTTTCAATCCTTGAAGAAGAAGAAGAAGAAGAAGAAGAAGAAGAAGAAGAAGAAGAAGAAGAAGAGGAAGAGGAAGAGGAAGAGGAAGAGGAAGAGGAAGAGGAAGAAGAAGAAGAAGAAGAAGAAGAAGAAGAAGAAGAAGAACAACAACAACAACAACAACAACAACAACAACAACAACAAGAGTAATAATAGGGTATAATAATCGTGATAATAATAATGATAATAATAATAATAATAATAATAATAATAGTAATGATAATAATAATAATAACAATAACAATAATAACAAAAACAATAATAATAGACTGCATTAATTATGTAACGCTCTATCCCATACAAGTATACGCTCTGAGCGCTATACATCGATGACATGATTAGATCTATTGAGAGGAAAACCTCACACGCACGCAAGAAAAAACATATTCCTATGCACAAGAAGACTTAAAGAGATGATGAACGAGCTTTTAAGGCGGGTCACAGACAGCTTATTTTCCTGAAGCGTTAGAAGGCTTTAAATGACCCATAGAAAATTGTCAGGGATTTGTGCGGTTTCAAAGGTATTTTGTTTTCTCTTTTTTCTTATGGGGTTTTTTGTTGTTTGTTTGTAGTTTTGGGTTAAAATTTTTTCGCTTAATCAGTTCTTATGCATAAGGTATGCCATTTTAATAGATTATTAGCAAACAAACGTGACCCCACGCACACTAGGAAAATTCCCACTCGTCCCACGATGCCAGCGCACTATAAACAAAGAGTTTACAGTGTAAACCCTCTCTACTATAACCAAAGATACTATACCCTACGGTATTACGTCGCTGGGCGGTGAATAGAGCTAGATGAACAGACGAAAATTGCTTCATAATTTGCATACCCGCCGCAGTCGTGTGTCAAGTAGAAATGAAATTTTCCCTAGAGTGAGCAGGGGTCTAAAAAGCAGCAAGCGCTGTTCCTTAAGGGGGGGGGGGTGGTGGTTTATAAACCTATCTCGGTAACTATGGCCTTTTTAGATAAAGCCTTATAACAAGGAGGTATAACAGGAAAACATATGTAAAATGTAACTTTAATTTTTTTGGTTCAAGTCTACGGTTGCCATGGTAACGGCTACCATATTGAAAATAAACAGCTTTCACAAAAGTAAAAAGGATTTTTTATTTACCTACCAAATTTGGTACATTGATGATAGATAAAAAAAACAAAACAACTCAATACAAAATTTCGTACTGTTGGGATCTTGGATATCTTGAATAGGAAAAAAGTTAGAGATGGATAACTGACGTGCCTCTGAATTCGATAACATATCCATCCATGTAACTCACTCATGAATGCATCGTTTTTTTTCCACCTTTATAAAGGTAGATTTTGGTATGAATGACAAGCCCTGAAAACTTTATTGGAATCAAAAATAAAATAACAAAGTAGAAGAGAAAAAACATCAAAATTGAAGTTTTGAGAAAAAACGACATTCTCTTACATAATAGGCAAAATGAAAGTCCTGGGACTGAAAATCTTGAAGATGATGATTGTAAAACAAAGAGTAAACACTTTTTAGATTTACAAGTGATTGGAGTATTATAATACGTAAAAAGTCAGGATACCATAAATTGACCAAAAATCGTCAATTTAAAACCAGCTCTCCCCCCCCCCCCTCTTAAATTAATTTATTACTTTTGTTTCAGCTTCTTTTCCATGTTAGCATAACACTAGTAACACTCAGGAGCGCAACTAAACACCAAGAGATAAAGGAGTGATCTATCTCTTTACAAACATCTTTGGAGATCCTAGCTAAAAGGGTGTGATACTGAAAAGATAATCTTTCCAATCGAGAAGCAAGATTAAAACTCGACTTTATACTGTACTCAAAGAGAACTACCACTTACACTTCAGGCGCCAGAAAAAAATTGCATTATTTATTTTATTTATATATATATATATATATATTTATTTATTTATGCATTCATATATCTATTTAAATATTTCTTTATTTGTTTGTTTGTTTGTTTCTTTCTTTCTTTCTTTATGGGGGGGGGGGGGGGGCAAAGAGTGATACATGTTTTCCCACCAATATTAAGAAATAGGCACGGTCTAGTTGCAAGGTGTCTCTCTTGGCTAGAAGAACCCCCATCAATTAGTGTGGAGAAGTGCACCGTGTCTTATGGGATGAAGACATGATCAAGATTTATGTTCACGGCAGTAAGAGAACAACACTTGGATTTGATCATCCCGTTTTCTTTTCATTAGGTATTCATTTCCGTCCCTCTTATTAGCTCAGGAGATAGGATGATATGTCGAGTACCTCTGAGCAGAACTCGTTAGCAGGAGAAAGGCTGAGGATAGCAGCATATTGTGCGCATTACTTTCTCGTTACAGGGCGTTATGTAGAAACAAGATAAGGTAGATAACTGTACTGTAGCTTATATTCCTGGTTTGCGTCAGTGCTTGGTTTTGAGTAGCCAGACGGTTAATTAGAAGGGCAAGGATTAGCATTATTGTCAATCATCACAGCTTCTTTTTATATATAAAATACCCTTGCACTTGTCGTTTCAGTAATTATTAGGGGCAAGGCGTTCGCTCCCTTCATTAAAAGATCACGGCATTCTGTCTTGATAAACGGAAGTGTACAAGAAACATTGAATAGAAAGCGATAATCACAGTGTGTAGCGACATTGGCTTTTAAAGTTGAAATTATAAAACCACGGTGTAATAGTGATATCTTAACAATGTAATTTCGAATGCAGAGTACTCTAGATCAATGCACTGCGCTGAAAGGAAACGGACTGACAAGAAAATAATACAGTCGGGTACAGTCGGGTCTGGTCTAACGGCCTATTGTAGATTTTGCCAATCACCTGTACGCTTTATAAACTGTCGCTTCCCATTACCCCCCCCCCCCCTTGAAATAAAAAAAACCCATATAATATCACTATGTAAAACGGTCCTCTAGTTGTTCAAAGCGTTCACCTTTCTCCTCGACAAGTGGCAGTCTTAGACAATTTCGACTGCATAATGTTGTTGCAATGTTGGGGAAAACATAACGATCACCATACTTACTTATATTCTCACCATACTCAAGCCTACTTATATTCTCAAGACAATTACTGCAAACCCTCTTTGTATTCCGATTCAAAGCAACAATACTAAACTTCATTCCGGTTCGGCAGGGGAGATTTTCTACCCTACATAGATGGGCACGAGGAGTACTGCTACCCCCTGAATGGCACAAAGGTCGGAGAACAGTACATCTTCCGGGTCAGCGTGCAATCTGATGACCTGTGGTATGGAGAGGAGTTTGACATCGTGTTCAACAAAAGTGGCATAGGTGAGTAGTAATTATGTCAGTGTGTTGGGGGCAGTGTAGATGACTCTTGCTTTCCTTCCGTATCTGCTCT